TTTTTTTGGTATTCCCTCTAAATTGGGATAGGCTTGGATCTCACAAAATTGATCAAAAAATAGCTCAAAACCTCAATTTTGGAGAGGATTTTGCAAGAAATCACTGTAAAACACAGTGTTTTTGCTTCATTTAAGTTTAACGGTGGAATTTGATGTTAAATTGGATTTCAATTGATTTTGGTATTAGACTTCAATTAAAACGCTTTCAGAATTATTGGTGGAAGTTGATGTATCATTAGCTTTCTATTAACAACGTGTTTAAGATTAATTGTAGATTTTTTTACAAACAAAGTTTCATTTATATCATTGTCAAAATCATTGGGGAAATTGATGTTTATATTAGATTTCAATTAACATTTCTTCAAGACTAATTATAGAAAAATGAATGTGTAATTCAATTTCGATTAAATGCCTTTTCAAGATCATTGTGGCAATTGATTTTGACTTAGATTTCAATTAAAATCCTATTATATTTCATTGTAGAAATTAGGCATTACTTAAATGTCAATTAATGTCCTTTTCAAAATCATTGTGGAAATTGTTTGTTGTTTAGATTTAAATTATGTTCTTTTCAACATAATTTGATTGAATTGCTTGTGTATTGGATATCAATCAAGACCCTTTTAGAATTGATTGTGAAAATTAACTTTCAGTTAACAGTTAATGGTGGAAATCAATTCTTATAATTAGATGTTAGTTAAAGTCCTTTTATTTGATGTAGCCTTGTAGTGGGGAGCAAACAGATACAAAATCAATTCAAGTTAGTTAAGCATCACAATTTCCACAATTGATCTTAAATCGACTTTAAACACAATCTGATACTAAATCAAAGCCACCACCAACTTTGAAAAGGACTTTGACTAAAATCTAATTGTAAGAACTAGTTTCCACAATGAGTTTTAAAGAGAACTTGGCAATGATTTTTATTGCAATCTAATATCTAATAAATAGCAAGTTCCACAATCAATGTTAAAAGGATCTTGATTGAAATCTTCTAATTTAAGTTTGCCTAATTCTATTGTAATTCCAGTTTAGTTGGTTTAAGAACACACATGTTACAAAACCCTATATTTTACAGTGTTTTTTGCCCTAGGAGTGCTGGGAATAAGACACAAACTATGTTTTTGAGTAGATAGTATTTGTTTAAAGTAATCCCTTGGAATATTCATTGCTATATTAAAACTGCTTTATGTACAAACTTCTAATTCAAAAGGTTCCCTCTAGATCTGATCACTTCTGTGAAAAAAAAAGCTTTCATTTCAAAAGCTTTCCGCTGGATCTCTGGAAATAGTCATGGTATTTTAAAAAAGCTATAAGTATGTATGTAAGTGTTTCTTGCAAATGCTTTCCTTCAATGAAAATACACAAATCTAGGAAATCTACTTTCCCAGAGATCCAGAGGAAAGCTATTGAATCTAGATATGTATAGTATTATATCTTCATTCGCTCATGATGCTACATTCATTGTGGGCAGAGAGAGATTCACCTGATAATATTTATCATTGGTGTTGCACATTGATAGTGGGCAGACGAAGAGCTGTTATTTGTTGTCATTGACATTGGACATGGAGACTGGGCACAGACAGATCAAAAAAATTGCGTTTCGCCTAGTTCTCAGAGCAGTTTTTGAAATTTTGCACGGTATTTACAGTGTTTTCTAAGGGTTTTGAGCTAGTGTGTGCTCTCCCAAGCACACCCACCCTCTAAAATTACACGGCAGTGATTTCGTCTATTTTTGGATGCTTTTGGTGCGGAAATTAGATTGGGTAAGGGCGCGGCGGATGGATGGTACAATCCTGGGGTGGGGGGTCCTGCTCCTGATTTTATAGATATAAAATGCAGTGATGGACCCCCAGTATACCATAGACTGACTGAGACCTCTATGAAATCAGGCGTGTTGACAAAATATTACAAATCTATATTTTGAGAAGACTTGACCCCCTTAAATCCTTAAAAGGAGCAAATTTTCTATAAAACCACGCGTGTTGACGGCCAGTAAGTTTTCTATAATCTGATGACATCATATGACATCTGACGATACTCAAAAAACATGCACAGTCTTTTTCCTTCTCTGCGTTTCTCTGGTGCGCACGGCTCTGGTCCCACATTTGTTGCCAAGCGCTTGACAAGAAAATTCCCCTTCGCTCTCATTGCAACCGCAAACACACAACATGTTAGACCAATTAAGATCAAACATTGAGACCAAAGGCGTTTGTAAACACTTCGATAAAACAACCAAAAAACACTTTCATAGATTCCTAAAATTTTATAAACTCCTAAACGCTTTCTAACTGCAATGATGCGACTCAACATGGCTCAACCATGTTGCTCAACCTTCACCTTGGAAAGCTGCATAAACTGTGGATGAGATGAGCCCACTGCGTTCTCACAGGTGGACGTCTCAAAAGCTGATTCTCGATCAGCTTGAGCTTGTCGTGCACAAGCTTTCCCCACACCTCGCGTTTCCGTGTTGGAAACTCGGCCGAAAAGAAATTGGCGGCTGCGTTCAACAGATCTGTCCATGTGCTCTTGGAAGCGTTTGGACCGTGCGTTGACCTGATTCTGGGTCAACCCAGTGCCAATAAAAATCTCCTCGATCTCCTTTTGCACGCATCCGATGCTCTATTTGCCACATGGCTCCGACCGCTCCAAAAAGACAAGTCAACTCGTGAACTTGTGCTTTCCACTTCGTGAAAAATTGGACTGCAAATGTTTTGTGATATATGTTTTCTGCATATCTTTTTGGTATATGATTCTTGAGCATCCTGAGATATCTTGGACAGGGCCACACCCATGCGGGACTGCAGCTGTTGCCTGGAAAGCGATTGGTGGAAGTGCTCCTTCTTCTGTTTCTTTGGCTGTGTAACCTGATGCTGTCAACAACTGGTCTCTCATGCTGTTCAGCGTTGCCCGAGCCAGAGCTCGCCGCTGCTGCTGCTGCTCCGACACGCCTGACGCCTGGAGCGAGTCGCTACCTCGCCAGAGGCCCTTCAATTAACAAAAAGTCAAAAAGAGTGGATGCCCGCACAAACGGACTTTGTTTTTATGCGCTTTGTCCTAGTATCTTTTTGGCTTCTAATGCCAGTGGTGCGAGATATGCTGCCTGAGTTGGCTTGCATTGTCAGCGATTTCTGTCTCTTCTCCTCCTCTTCTTCTTGCTCTGGCTTTTCTTCCTTCCTCTCCTTCTCTTCCTCTTCTAGAGAAACAGAAAGAAGAAAGCAAATAGGAAGAGAAGAAGAGACAAAGAAAAGCAAAGGAAGAGGTAGAGGAAAAGAAAGAAGAGAAAGAGAAAGAGGCAGAAGAAAGGGAACAGGAAGAGAAGAAGAGGAAGAGAAGCGGAAGAAAAAGAGGCGAACAAGGAACGCAAGGAAGAGAAAAGGCAAAAAGAAAGAGAAAAGGAAACAGAAGCAGCAGTAAAGTCGATGAACTGGGCCCCAACCAACTCTTCCCCTCATACCAGCCGGTGCCCAATTGTCAGGCAAAACAGATGCAAAAATCATGGATCTGGAAGGGAGTAGAATTTGAACCCTTTGGGGACGGCTTTGGGCTCCTTTTTTTGGACGCGCCAAGGCGCCAAACACTGTAAATTAGTGTTTTTGCAAATTTTGATACAAAAAAACAACAGAACGGGTGTCCCTGAGAGTGCGTTTTTTCATTGATTTGCAGATGTGTTGCAATGTGTTGCAATGCTGCAAAAAAAAACAGCGTAAATACCAACGTCTTTCAAGGTGCGTGAGCGCAAAACACTGTAAAGTGTCTTTTTTAGCAGAACGATAAAACCACCCTCATAAATACTGTTTTTGAACACTTGATAGCCTAAAACCATTAGTATTTACAGTGTTTGCTGCCGCAGAAGTGCACAAAAACGCGCAAATAGCGTGGTTTTGATGCACTGTTTCAGCCTGGAACAAACGCCTATTTCCCGGGGAAACTCGGAGCAAAACCTGTGTCAACGGTCGAAAGCCTCGACTGCCGGAGGAAGGACCACGACGGTGCCGGAGGATTCCGGTGGGTCGGAGGCCAAATCCTCCATGCGTCTTCCGTTTAGGCTCGGCCAGGTCGGAAGTGAAGCATAGTAAAGCGCTAGACTCAGACCAGTCTGTGAAGTTCGACTCATCGTCTGGCACATAGGTTGTTTGACCGGGAACTCCTCCAATTCAGGGACTGGTGGCCCTGACTGCCTGGACCTCTTGGAGAAGAACACAACCTAAAGAGAACTTGAAAGTATTGGAACATGTCAAAACACCCAAGGTCAGGTGGTATGTGTGGTTGGTGGTTCTTGGTTGGTTGGTTAACACCAATGTTCCCCCTCTTCCTATTGTAGTACAGTATAGTCTAGTTGTATGAACGTGTCCTGTCCTCAACCCCTTAGAATGCCCAACCCCCACGAAAGCAAAGTGGATTTCACCTGCTCTCCACATAGCCCCATAGAGGACGAGAGAGCTTGGTCCTTGCTGCCCCAGAAGCCGCTTCCAGCACCGTGAAGGGCGTCTCCACCTAGAGGGAGGGCTCCAACTCCACCAGCTCAGAGGTTGTGCAACAAAAAGAGGGAGGGCTCCTGGTTGGTGGGTTCAACTCAAACTATTTGGAATTGTGGGGTCCGCACTGATCCCAACTGGGTTGAACATGGTTGAACATAAAAGTATCATAATACCTGCATCTCTGTAGTTGTGTAAGTGGTTGTTCCCTATACTTCCATCTCTATACTGTACCTCCAAATTTCTATGAGCACCGGAGCAGTGTAGGATCGAAGTTGAGTTTGCTGGAGGACCATTGTTGGTACGTGGATTGTTAGGGTTCAGGGTGTGTGGAAGTCTTCTGAACCCGCCGCTGCCGCTGAAGCGAACGAAGGACCTGAGGATCACGAAGGATCCTCGCCCAAACTCTAAGGATCACGGGGCCCGGGCCAAGAGGAGCGCTCCCAGTCTCAAGAAACACTCTGGACGACTCTGTATGCCATGAAATCATGATGGCATGAAATCTGGCATCATGGATTTTGTAGGATGCCCCTCCTAGAAAAAACATTCAGTCCAGCCACAGGCGGTCCAAACAGCCAGAAAACACTTCGGAAGGGGTTTTGACGCCCGCACGATTTTGGAAGGTCTTTTGATGGAGATCCTCTCTCCATATCTCTGCCTCACAATCGGGCATGGGGATACAATTCGGTACAGTGGCACAACCTGGCTCATGATCAGAAAGAAACAACAAACATCAACATTCTGAGATAGGGTAACTCACAGGTCTCTTTATGCTAGCACCAGTCTGATGGAAAAGTTGTTGTTTCCCTCTCCATGAGGACAGTGGCTTTGTGAAAATAGGACCCAAAAGAAGCCTGGCTATATACAAATAGTCTTCACAATTCAACTCCCCAGCCATTCAATCCAAGCGAATGGATCCCTGAAATCCTTCAATCCACATGTTACTGATTGCATCCCAACCCATCTCTGACCTGTACAAGGACGAGCCAGAAGCAAGAGGCTGTCGGAAGGGAAAAATCTTATAACGCCGAACCCCACCTGCGCCAGGATCTCTGCCAAATGACGATTTCATCATTGCAAGATCATTGCAACGCCACGCCAGGGGATTCACTCGGTTTGTGAAAATACACTCCCCTGCAAACTAACATGGAACCTGAGAATTGACCGGTGGTTTCGACTATCTTCCTAAGACCAACCCAGTGGTTTTGGAGGTCCCATTCGGCGGCGGTGGGGGTTTTTGAAGAGGTGGGCCTGGAGCTCAACCCCCTCCCCCTGGCAAACCATCGAGGGAGAGCGAATAGTGTCAAGCCCACGAAAACTATTTGGGAAGTGTAGTAGTGGTAGTAGTAGTCGTCGTCGTCGTCGGCGTCGTCGTCGTCGTGGTGGTGGCGGCAGCAATGACAGGAAGGCAAGCTTAGATATAGTTCCAGGGCTAAGAGGGCGCATTATTCCGCACCTTAAACAATTCCCATATATTCCCATAATTTACTTCCCCTCTGCTTGTGTACTACCTGCGATCGGAATTCGGATCGTCGTAATTCGGAGAGAATCTTCAGGTCCACGCACAAGGAGCCGCAAAGTTCTTTGGAACATGATCTTTCCCAACAACTCCATATAATCTATAGACAGTCGATCAATAAAGAGACATCATTTGGATTGCACAACCGCTGAACAAATTATAATAGGTGCTTGAACTATCATCAACAGTCTACACGTGTACTAAAGGCTTGGTGATCGTTCAGCGCTCAAAGCTGCAAAAAAGTAACACGTTGTCGCGTGAAAACAAGGCGGGCATTCATGCGGTCAAAGCCGAACCTGGTAGTTCGGGCGTGTGAATCTCATGACGCAAACAGTAAGAACATCCAATCCTTTTCAACAAAAGTCCAGGCGTAGGCAGTCTTCAAACTCCCTTGCGTCCAATGGCTCACAAAATATTTCTTGGCTACCTGAAACCAGCCAGCAGCCGATTGACTCATTGATACAATCGACCAGTTCCCACTGAAAAGCAGTCGGCTGTCCGGATACAATCCACCACAACCTCTCCAGAGACCCACTGCCGTGCCGCATGAACACGATTTGAACATATACCGACCCGTTCTGCAGCCGTACTACAACGACTCCCTCCTTCCTCAATGTCGGAGGGATGCATCGAGAATCGTCTGGACTTCATTGGTGTTTACTTCGTCAGACTTCGTGCGCCAGACGTGATGGATCTGACACCTTATTATATTCACCAAATTTGATCATGTCCTCTAAACGTCATGAGGTCCATCCGAGCGGAAGTCGAGGGGGTCTTCCGTCATTTATATATATATATATACCTAGAGCCTGACTGACCTCTGTTTTGATGGGAAAAGACCATATTTTGGGAGAGTTGATCCTCCAAAACAGGGGTCACTCAGGCTCCAGGTATATATGTGTGACCAAACCAGGTCTTCAAATCCATCAAACAAACACTTGAAGTCGGAAGGTTGCTTGGGTTTTCCGACTCGGTCTACTAGCACCAGGATACTGACTGGTTGACCTACCGGTGGTACAGGTCAAGCTATTCATGGTGGACCAGGGCTCCAGGTTTTGACTGTATCAAGCACCATGGACTGTTGGGGCTCATGGTGTTGGGGCTCCATATTGGACTGTTTTGCACCATGAGCCCCTGGAAGAAAAGCCACGCTCGTTCAACAATCGGCACTGAGCTCTTGACCATGTCCAGCTATCTGGGCTGCCGTTAGCACAGCTAGCTGCTTAGGGAAATGAATCTTCAGTAGCTTAGTCTTCCATTCAGGGGCACATGCTCGACTATATTGGACACCATACTTTATAGTATCCTTCTTAATACATATCGGTCGATTCAGATCTCTTCGTGCCATGCTCCCTACAGCAGTCGGGTATAACTTCCAGAGACAGCGCTGCCGAAAACGTTTGGCCCTCGACGCGGAACGAACACTTTGGTCGCGCTGCACTGTTTGTGCATTCCTTCGAATTCCACATGGAAACAGCCAGGAGCAGCAGTACTGTACAAAGAGCCATCAATCTGGACGTTCGAGGCGAGCAAACGTGGACATCATCTGCCTCCTGCACTTATTATATATAATATATACGCTCTTATATAGCTTGGAACTTAGTTTTGTCAGGGAAGATCGGACAACAACTGCTGGGTTTGCTTACCTGTTTGGTGGTTTCAACTTGCACAAAAAAATTCTGATAGTGGGTTCAATCGTCCCAAGTTGCAAATGAGCAGATCATCTGAATCCACCACCTAGTTATGCATGCTTATCGGCTTATCGGTCTTGACAGGTGAACCTGGCAGAGCCCAGCCAAACGAGGAGTTGGTCAAACATCAGACAATATGGGTGTATAAATGTAATAGGGAGTGGAGGTCTCCCTAACTCAATGCACATAGCTCTATGGCTTTGAGTATATCCCATTTCTAGGGCCCAGTGGATGATGATGCCTGGTTGCACGCTGTTCTCAAAAATCGTGATACTCTTTTAGCAACTACATGTGATGGGACACACCCTAAATACTGTATGATACTGTGATACTGTGTGGTTTTAGAAGTGATTGGTCACATCCAACCGGTTGTCTCCATAGTGGCTGCAGGGTACCATTCTTGAGTTTTGAGCCACTTTGAATCCCGTAGTGTTGATGAAAGACATCCTGCAGGAAGACGGTGAACACGGACGGTCAACACCTTGATCAACGTCACTGCAAACCTGTGACAGAAGCAACATACTGGGCTCTCCCTAGACTGGTTAGTTCAGAATTCTCAGCACTGTATATATATATATAGACGTGCAACAAATAAACACTGAACAGCGCAAAAAAAAAACACAACGCACACACAAGAACTCTCAAAGCCTTGTACATCCAGCGGCTGAAAACTGGTCTTTCCTGGCAAATAAGCCAGTTCATGGATGCTACAAGCTCCACGAATGCACGGTGGGGAAGGTCACGGAGCTTCTGAAAAAGAACAAGCAATGGTCAGATTCTCATCCGAGATGGTATTTGGAGAGTAGGGATACTAGGTGCCTAGTACCTAGATACTCCAATTTTGGGGTTGAAACACTTCAACTTGGGAGATCATGTATCCTATGTAGTAATGGCCTTTTGTGGGGTATGCGTCCATACCAAAGACTCCAGACATGATGAGTTCATTTTGTAGGGTAATCAACCCAAGTCACACTCTACTAGGGCCTAGGGCCTAGGTTCCCTCTACTAAACGCAGGCAAATCCTGGTGGACATCATACCACGTGGGTTCAGACATGGGTTCTTACATACTCTCTCTCAGCCCACGCACATCGAGGCTAAGAATTGAAATAACACCTTCTCTTTTGATGTGCAACTGCAGGGAGGAGCCAGCTACGGCCACGGCTTGGGCTGACCTGGGGTGTGACAGAAATCACTGGAGGATGGAAGGCCATCCCCAAGGAGCTGAAGATCCCCAAGGAGCTGAAGGCAATCCACAAACACTTACTGACCGCCCGCAGAAGGGCAGACACCGCGCCGCACCAACCAGGCGGTCGAATTCATGTTAATACTCCCATCGATGGCATGGGCGGCGGAACCCCATGCGCGCATGAAGCAAAACGTCACACGCGCCAGCATCTTTGGAAACATCATGGCACCATCAAGCTAAATAATCATGACCTGGCCCACTGGCCGCCCACTGGCTTCGACAATCCTCAGCTGGTAAGACATATATCTCTGGCAATCTCTGGCTAGAATATTCTCACACCAACAGCAAGAGTGGCCAAATTCCACCAGTGGTAAAACAAAACCTCCCACGTGCTGCACATGGGCATCTCAAACAGCTACAGTCGCTCGGCATGGCTTTAGCTGCCTTGTTGCATTCTTGCTGGGGAATCTTACGTAACGTCACATGGTTTTGCACCTTCTTTTCGTCAGTTCCACAAAGTCGTCACGTTCTTTTCGTCATGGCCGTTTCAACACAGAAGACCGATCGTGGTCGGATGGCTGGCTGGTTGCGGCTCAAAGAGCGCCGCGGCTCAGCATGGGGC